TATAGGTATCAAATTGTAAAAAGTGATATAATTTAGAGCCAATTCACACATTAACCATTGAGCCATCAATTAGCCTTCATGTCATTTATGCTTAGAATGGTTTGAATTTACCATTTTCAGAAGAATTGAAACAAGTTTAGAATGTGCTTTGAATGCTGGAATTGTGAGAAGGAAATGTATTGAAATCCAGTGTCCCTGGAAAGCTGAAGAGCCATATGCCTTAATCCTACATGGTTTGATCGGTGAACATGAACAATATAAAATACTGTCTGAAATTTAAAATTCTTTTTAGTTTTGAGAAGATGGAACCTGGGTTTATCTCTGTGTGGAAAATGTACATTGGAATACACGCTCTTCTCTCTTTTGTTAATAAAAGCATAGTTAAAGGAAAGGTTAACTTTCACCATAGCAACTTCTGAGTGTTTTTGACATAAGACTGTTAAGTTTCTTGTTCGACAATTCAAAGTGAGAAGGAACAAAGTCGAATGAATTTCCACATATCTTGCTTGCTGGGATCCCTATTTCACTTGCCAACTTCTCTGCTTCCTCCTCTCTGTCAATGACTTGATCAAAGCAAATGTACCTTCCAAACGCTGTCTTGTTCATTGCCTCAAACACAGATACATGTGCCTCTGCCAATCTACTTACATCAACAGTTGCTAGTAAACCATTGACATACGTTTCTTGGGCTCCTGAATTTCATAAATTACTGATCAAATTAGCTTTCAAGACTAGTCATTGAAAAGTTGAAATTAGAGAGTGCAAACTGAAAAACATAATGAACAATACCTTTAAGATAAGCTGTTGCTGCTGTTGGGTTTCTATAGGAGAATTCAGGGCCTGTAATAAGCCCTGGACAGATGGTGGTCAATTTTAAGCCCATCTCCTCAGCTATTTTCCATGCAACTTTCTCTGCTTTCAGCTTCCCCAATGCATACCAGAGCTACCACATTTTGACAGAAAAAGTAAGAAACTAGTCCTTGTTTGGAAAACCACTTCAGAAATAAAATGCCAATAACTCCCATGTATTTATCTCAAAGCATTGAGATTTCTGCTTCTAGTTTGCATGTACTATACCTTTTTGTCAATGCAAACTGATTCATCACTCCAGCAATCATGGTTAACCAAAGGGGGGAGATCATTTTGGGAACTGTCTCTCCATATGCAGGCCAAAAGTGAGGAAGTAAGCACACATTTCCTGACAGAAGGTGTTCTTGCACATGCCTTCATCACATTTTCACTGGCCTTTACTTCTATTTCAGCCATGGATTTCTAACAGAACACAGAAAGAAAAGTTAAACATAACTTTGTTGCATTGTGGCAAATAAGTTAAAAAACGATTTCCTACATTACAAGCAGACAAAATTCCTAGTAAATACAATTCGAAAGGTATTTCTTGGGGTACCATCATTTCCTAATAAAAAAGTAAGCTTCAACCTGGTTCTAAAAGAGTATGAAAACAAGCTAAAAGAAAAAAGAAATCATGTTGGGAGGAAAGGGTGATGTATCATCGATTTCATGATTGTGGCATGAATTCAGACACCACGTGACTGGACTGCACTTCTCCAAGTTCAGACCAATTGTTTAATGGGATTGGTGCTCTGGTCCTGGTAGGCCAACCCAAGATGTTTATTTTTATTCAAAACTTGACCACAGTTTTTAACATTATTTTAAAATATTGGATTTCTATGTATACCATTTTTATCCCTTGAATTGAAAGAAATTCGAATTTGCAATTCTCTCTTTCGGGGATAAAATATTTTCAGAAATAAACAAATCATAATGATTTTTGAGGCATGTGGTTTTCGTGGTGGTACACTTACTTTTAGAAATTAGACTTGTCAGTTTACATTTTCAACCCATTCCTTTTATCTTTCATCTTAGAAAATATCACCAAAATTTCCTGTCTGCTTATGAAATTTACTGATGTTGTACAATTAAAAACTTGGGAGAGACAGGTGAGAACTTGACAATGTAGCAAAAATTAGTCTTTGTCTAATGTTCATTGCTACTACCATAGTACAAAGTACTAAGCAAACTGTTCTTTAGCCTTTTGCTGGATTTACTGTCACTTGGTTGGTAGGAGCTAATGAATTCTTTCATAGAGTAATAACATACTGAAAAATTATTCCAGTACGGATGGATTTTTTTGGTCAAGAAAATTTAGGGGGAGGAGAGGTTTCTTCGTTTCAGAATTGGGGCATATTGCATGTTTTATATAAAATTTATTTTGGATTCACAAATCACTCTTTAAAAGAGATTGCTAATAATAAAATTCCATCTTACAAATGAAGTATTCAAAACTTGTCAATTCAACCAGCTCATCCGAGGGAAGGATCTTAGTATCCCATGCATCATTCCCCCGTAGATTTTAGCCATGCAGATTCCATACAGGACAACTGGTACTATAGATCTAATTACGTTTCACTCATTAAAGTATGGGTCAGTTGATTTTTCTGAATGGCAAATAAAAAAAAAGTCAAGACATGGGGGAAAGATGAGAGAACTCACCGAATAACCAGAGATGCCAGCAGGGTCAGCGGAAGCAGAGGTGTGAAACACGCCACGACACCCATCAAACGCTTCCATAAGAGCCTGGATTTCATTTGGCTTAGCCATGATCACAGAAATTTTATTCATACATGCCATCATCTCCCCTGAAATCTCCATCTCCCTCAGCTTCTCTACATCTTCTGCATTATTTTGAATCAACCCAAGAACCCCAATTAAACCAGAGACATAACAGTAGTATCTATCAATTAACAGCAACATATTTTAGTCTTCTGAAAACAGAAACTTTGACAAGAACCTTAAATCTGACAAGGGTTTCCAACCCTGTCAGGTTTCAGGCTGTTTTCAGTAACTAAAACTTCTGTCTCATGGCTGAGACTAGGGAATTCTGTTACCTTGGTTATCAACAAGGACTCGCACAGAGTATCCATGGAGCAAGAGACGGTTAACTAAGGCAAGCCCAAGGAAGGAAACACCACTGGTAACACAAACAAGCTTGTCTTCAAGCTCAACGTGGGGGTTATGGGAGCTCAGAACTTTGAATTCTCCATTCTCTTTTCTTCTATCCAGGGCAGCAAAAGCAACCAAAGTCTGCCTGAACTCCTCAAACTCCCTTCTTTCATTCTCTTCATCTTGTGTCCTTGCAATCCCCATTTCTGCCTTTCCAGCTTTGGTTCAGTTAAAGTTTAAAACCTGGGTTCTGATCTTTGCTATAATTGTCTGAAGTGGGTTAAGTTTTGATTCTGAGGAGGAGGCTAAAAAACGGGAGGGAGAGTTTGGTGTGTTGGGCTCTGATCGCTCTCTACAAATGAAATGATCACGCGTAAAGGCACCAACCTTTTTACAAGCTGTGGGCTGCGGAAGAGTCTGACAGAGGATGACTTGACTACTTCGCTTGGCTTGGCTTCATATTGTTATAAATTTCATTAAAAAAATAAAAATTAGAAAATATTAAAAAAAAATTAGATCTAATAATATCAAATTAGATACATGATATAATATGGAAATAATATAAATAAATAATATGAAAATAATATAATTTAAAATTTTAATAAAAATTATAAATAAAGTTAATAAAACTAAAAAATTTTTATAATTTTATATAAACAAGTATGATATATAATTTTTATACAAAATATAATATAAATATACGAATTATTAATATTTTACATGATATAAATATAAAAATTATCAAATCTTACTTGTAAAAGAAAAAATTATAGGTATCAAAAATTTAAAATTTAAATTTTAGTAGCATATTTTTTTACAACATAATTATTTTTATGTGATGTTTTTGTTATTAATACGGTGAAGTAGATGATGCTGCAAATGATCACGACAACACAATCATGACTAAAAAAGATAATAATAAATAAATAAAAGCCCCAATGTTTTTTATTTGCATGCATAAGTAATGTCAAAAATTTATAAACTTGGTTTTTTTTTTTTTTCATTTGAAATGTGAGGATTTACAATTATATGATATGTTAATAGAATGTTTTGATTTTTAATTTTAATAATTATGATTTTATAAATTTAAATTTTAATCAATGATGATAGAAAATTAAATACAATTGAATAATTTTCTTTTGAAACTTCATTATAAAAAAATTATGATTTAATTTTAATAATTTCAAACATAAATAAACCACAATTTTAAGAACAAAATAAAAGTTTATATATGCAAATTCATAAAAAAAAAAAAAAATTTAAAAAAATAAAAAAGGCCAAAATAAAAGATTTTGTGAAAATGCATGGCTCGGCTAAAGCAAGCGAGCGGCTTGAGTTGGTATGCAGTAAGGGAGGTAGGAACGATGGAATTCTCACGTGTTGAATGACTAGTACGCACGAGATGGCTTGTTGGCTCATTATCTAGTTGTTGGGATATGTTACGCTTACCTGACTGTCACTGTCACTCGGAGACTTTGAAGCCCAATAGTGTTTCATGCAATTTTGCTAGAGAGATTAATTAATACTTAGTTGGCTATAACTTCATGATAATTACAAGACAGGAAATCCCATTCTCATGAATTAAATATTTATATTTTTACAAGTATAATAATAATTAAGTGGAAACTAGATGAGCATGCCACATGCAATTTGTTAGGTATAATTAAAAAAAATTAAAATAATATATATTTAACGAAATTTACAAACCATTTGTCGATTTTATATTTGAAACTTAATTAAAAATCTTTTTATCTTTAATATAACATTGCTTTGTAACTTGATCCAATAAATCGACTTAAATTTGTCATTTTTTTATATAAAATAAATCGTAATTTAAGAATAAAAAATAATTTATATACAAAAATTTAAATTTAAAATTTATTAAATATTATTTTTTAAAATAACTATATGAAACAACTAAATTTTATCTTGGATTATTTGTCACAACATTTTCATCTCCAAAAACATTTCATAAAATAAATCTAATTCTTTTTAGCCCTAAATATTTACTTAGGATATTTAAGCTTTGAGACTATACTTGCCTTTGTAGTTGACACAACATGAGTTGAGCCCAAAATATTGGGCTTTAGGGCTTGAAATCCAATAATTTTGTCCACGTTTTGTTCTGAAAAAAAAACTACTAAAAAAAAAGCAAGAAATAGGGAAGACGAAAGCAGTTCTCAAAAAGAAAGGGCTTCTTCTTCAAATTTTTAGAGTTTTTAAAGGAAAAAAAAATGGGTGGTTTAGAACAACGTTTTCCCGTTCCTTATAAGAGTCTCTCATTGGACATCAAGGTAAAAAAAACAACGTTTGTTTTTTTCTTTATTCTCTTTACTTGGGTTTCCTGTTATCTCCGTGTTTTCGTTTTTGGGTTTAAAGTTCTGATTTTTTTATTAGTTTTTAACCATAGTAGCATGTGAAAGCATGAATTATTGATGATGGTTAGATTTTGATTCTGGGTTTAGTTTAAGATGATTCTTGTAGTTTCTTACTGACAATTTTATGATCAATTTGTTGTCTTTGTTTAGGATGGTTTGAGTTTTTTTTTTTTGGTTTATTATGTTGCACGTTTATTTGCTTATACCAAAAATGAATTATATGGTGGGTGGGAATTTGATTTTTAGGATTATATTCCTATTGCTGTTGTCATGAAGATTGTTTACAGTTTCAGAGATAGTCCTTGGTTAACACTTCAATGGGGGGCTAATATAGTGTGTTAAAATAAATTGAGGCTCAAGTTTAGTAATGGGAATTTTGAATATTGTTTCCTCAAAAATTCTGGCTGGTTATTGCTAATGATTTTGCAGATTCAGAAGTGAGTTTTGTTGGTTTTTATTTGGTTTCTTAATTCATTCATATTTTCCTTTTTTAAAGATTGCTTTGGAAATGCCATGTGATTAGACTTTCTCAATTGCACACCTTTTGCTTGGTAGGGGAACACCACAGATTTTGTCATTTGCCGTTATGAAGATCATTTTCTTGTGAGTACAAGCTATCCATTGTTTTTTACTCAAGTTTAGGCTTTTGGTGGTGCGTTTCTGTGTGTCTGTCTGAGGTCGAGAGAGGGATGATGATCCATCTCTTTCTATGATGACTTCTAATGTGCGAAAAACTTCTCAGGTTATGGCTACTCAGATAGGAACTATGGGAACAATACTGCATGCAAGGTTTGCCTCTTATGTTTCTTCCAAGCAGTTATTCTTTTCTTTTTTTTTTCCTTTTCTTTAAAAATGAAAGGGAAAGGATCTAGTGCTTCCTCCATGTCACAAGTCACAAGTCATAGGCACTGTTGTTTAGTGAAATTTGAGTATAATTTCTTTAGTAACCAAGTTTTTGTTGGAGTTTTTCGGATTATCATTATGATAATTGTACTCAGTAGAGCATTTGAGAAATGTTTATATTTTCATCGCCAGAAAGGAGGAAGGGGTTACAGTTCAGCCTACTTTCAATGTGTCCGTAATATTCGGCAAACGAGATGAGGTAAGCTGGACTGACTGTCATGTTGTATGTTGGTTTGATCTTTCATAAATAAAATGTCCATAATACTTTGGATGAATGCAACATGTGCAGCCGATGCTACTGGCAATTACCCGTCAGCTAATTGAACACATAAGGTATTTTCCCAACTCGATAGACATGTTATTACTATTTGGATAAAGTGCTTTACCAATCACTTCCCTTTCTCCTTATAAGATTTAATGGTTATAGTTGCAAATATTCATTAAAGGAACATATGAAGGCAAACAAAGGTATCCAGAAATGAGAATTCGACCATTAATTTTGTCAATTGAATACAATAAACTTGCAAATCTAATGGCAGTTTGGTGTTAAGATAACCATTGTTTAATGTCTTTGCATGGTCTTTTGTGTTTGCAGTTCCTCAGGCTCCTCTATGCCTTTAGTTCTTTCTCTTGGTCTTAAAGACCATAGCATGGTATTGTCCTATAACACATGTTTGCCATTAGCTTTGGCTCCATCTTTTATGAAGTTTCGTATGTGCTACAAAGTAGTGAAACTCATAGGATATTGGGTTTTATGCAGGAGACACTGAAGGGCATTGTTTCTGCTGTGATGGAGAACCGTCTCTGGTAATGCAATGATGCTAAAATTTCACAGCTTTTGCTGCCTGGATGTTTGAGAAGGGAAATTGAAAGCGGCAAAACCATCAAAATGCCATCCAAACAAACTGTGTTTTGATCTATGATTATCAATATCAATTGTACCATAGGAATGGTAAGCATCGTTATGCCCACAGTAGTTTCATTTTATGTTCAAATTGTTAATCAGGAATTGACAGTGAAAGTGCTGAAACATTGACAAAGAACCAGACAAGTTTTCTTGCTCTAAAAGTACATCTTAGCATTCATCTTGGTTACCTAAAACCTGTCTTGTTGCCATTGGGAACCCATCTCTGGTTCAAAAATATATTTACCACTTCTTCTGTTTCTAGTTCGAAGAGCAAATGAACACCTGCAATTTATATTACCTGCGAAAGGTCATTGGAGCCCACCTCTGTCAAATCCCCAAGCTTACCTGTATTAGTCAGAAAAGGAAAATTTAACACCATTATTTTTACACGACTAAGCAGCAGAAAATACAGACAATCAAAATATAGAGGCATTACGAGAAGTTTGCTCCAAATACGTAATAACTCCAATGATTTCTTCCTGCCAGCCATCATCAACAAAAGAACTCGTTTTAAAACAAGCAATCTTTATGACATGAGACAGGAAAAACGTAACAATTATACCCCTTGCATGGTGTTCTGTTGCAAAATGCATTGTAGAGATGGGAATACAGCACTAGCTGTCAGGTTTAGAGATGTTGGACTGGTTGAACCTCCAGTTGCTGGGTTAAAATTGCAGTTTGTAGGGCCCTGAATGAGAGAAAATAATGGCATTGGTTACAAAGCCATCGCCTAAAAGAAAAATTGCTGTGTACCAACCTTATCATTCATCATCCCAAAAACACGAGTTCAAATAGACACTCATGGGAGACAGTTGTGGCCTGTGATGAGGAAGTAAGCCACAGTTTTCATGGGTAGCGATCCAGATATTAGAGGATAAACTTAACCAAAAACAACAAAGTCTTATAGAAGAAAAACAGTTTGAAATTAGACAACATGCATACATCAGGACAAGCACATGAAATGCAAAATCAATACAGGACAACCTTATATAAAAAACCAAAAAGATTTGAAACCAAAGTCTTCAGTGAAATCATTTAGAACACAGCCCTTCAGCAGAAGTATAATTTATTCGGTATGACATTACCGTATAACAGTTGATGGCATTAGATGTATGTCATTTTGTTGATGCAGTATTTACATAATGCCTAACAAATGGTGGTCAACTATGTAGATATTTATCAACGCTGATAAATTTTACTGCAGTAGATTAATACAGATAGGAAGATATAGACACTCCAATTCCTAACCGTTCAACTGATTTCAAGTAAAAACTGTTTAACAGTAGAAAGTTGCATGTTATTGCACAACAGCAGAAGCCAGAAGACTGTCCGATATGCATCAAAGTTTCTTTAAACACATGAGGTAAACATTTCAATATATTGCAGATGTACCTTGGGACTGAGATCTGCTTAAGTCACTTTAAAGCGTTCCCGCCGAACAACTGCTCCCTCTGATGCATCCTCTGATACATACAGCAGGTAAAGAAACCATACAAAGTTCATTATAGTAGCATCACTTACTATGCAGAAATAGAAGAAAATAAAACCAGGAAATACCAGATGAAGGGTTATTTCTTTCTCTCCTCCAGCAATACAACAATGGACCACTGTAGTTGCGTTCAGATGGAAATTTAAGCTGTGGGAAGTCCCTTAAAAACATTTTTGGTAAACCCAATTTAATATAGATTATGACACCAAAAACTTTTCCGGTAAAGTAAATGGCAATGGCCAAAGCAAAAATGTTCTTTTTAACCATAGAATAGCAGAGTCAATGACCAAGTCAAGAAGAAAGTCCCTGTGTTATGTGCACCAGATAGGACTCCTCTTGACTTGAAATCCATAGAATTTAGAAACTCATCATATCTAGAGCTAGATAATGGGAAAAAAATCTTCCTATATTTTTGGAAAAAGTCACTATAAGTATTCTATCTTGTTTGGTGATTAACAGTTTTGAGGTTCGGGGTAACTCCACTTGCAACAAAGCTTACCTGTCCCCGTCTCCTGTAACCTTTTTAAGAGAAAAGTCATTAGCAGGTACTAGTAAACCACTCAAAACTTTTTATGCTCTGGAATGACCTGATGAGGAAAAGAGCTACTCTGCCTGGAACTCTCACCCTCGTTTCTTCCAGCATCTTGGTCCACAGCCCATGATGACTTTTATTGAACTGTTCGCTCTCTGAACGGATAACACCTTTCCAATTTGGACTATTCGCACCCTCATCACCTTCACCAATGTCAAAACAGCCTCTGCACTATATAAAGAGTTGCAGAAATAAAGGAAAGAAACTAAATTACCAAAAACAATTCGACTGGCAACCTTTCTTTTTTCCAAAAGAAAGTAATTAGTCTAAGAGATACCATAAATGTTCTTAAAATATATAAAGAAGACGATAAAACAAAAAGCAGAAAACTTAAAAACTGAACGATTGAACTTGTGAGAACATAATGCTTTCTATTTGAAAAAATTACAATTCACAATCTCTTTGAATGTGAAATGTGCAAAATGGTAGCCTCTTGATTATGTTATAACAATGAATTGTTTGCAATAGTAAGGTCGCGCAAGCATAAAAATGTCATACTTGAGTGCTTGAAGAGGTTTAATAGGAAATGAAGCAAGTGAACTCTCCAAATCATGAAGATCACTAAGCCCGTCCTGAAACAAGTAAAAGGAGGATATAAATCTTGAAGTACAAGTTTAATCAACGCATCAATAGAAATCATTTTTGGATTATAACTGGCACCTCCTGGCTAGTTGCAGCAACGAAATTACTAACGTTTCAGTAGATATCCTCTCCGCTGATGATCCAACTATATCATGCCTGTCCCTTTGCTTCCTGCTCTCATCTCGATCTGCATTTGACACATTATCATAATCTTGAATCTGCAAGTAAAACAGTCAGCATTTCTGATGAGATAAAGCTTATAGAGCAGTTTTTAGACTATCTCCAGATAAATAATAAAACAACAAATTGAGATGGGGAATTGAAACTGCTTACAAGTGCAGCCTGACTTTTTAAGTCCTCTAGATTAAAATTCAAGGCACTGATTCCTCTTATATACTCTTGCCGCAAGGTGAAAGGATTCACATTCAAAGTGATACTATGTAATTATATATTTTCTATATATCATGGGCATTCTATTAGTCAAAGTAAAACTAGCTGCAATAGTTTCTCTTAAACCCTGAGATGAATGTGGAACTGAAAGCAATTGGAACACTTGAAATACAAAAACCTAAAACACTAGGAAGATATGAAGGAAAGCACCTACCAGTATGAGATAATTTTTGTTGAGAAATGTAAAAAGCTCCATCATTCACCTCTGATAATTGCTCCTTGTCCTCATTGAGAGCCTTATTCTGTACAAGTAGATCAGCTTCTTTTGTCTGAGACATAAAAGGCCAGAGCAGAGTTCCACATTTATTCCCATCTTAAACACACAAATTAAATAAAAAGGGTAAGCAAGAGACCTTCAGCACCCTAGACCATTCGCCTAATGGAGCACGGCCATCAAGAATGGTGCGAGCTAGAAAATCATAGGAGCATGCATGTTTAAAGAAATTGTGCTTCAAAAGCTTATCCAAAGTTGGACGTTTCTTTGGGTCCTTCGCCAAGCAAGCAGCTACCATATCCTTGAAAGACTATACAAGAATAACACTAACAAAATGATGCTATTAGATACTAACAAGTGACACCAGTCAGCAAGACACAATGGAATAGCACAAAACCTCTGAGAACCTATTGTCCCTTTCATAGTCCAGACCAGGCGAAGTGTTTTGCAAGGTTATTAACAAAACCTGCAGCAAAAATGGGAGTAAACAATCAAAGCAAGAACTAAACAAAAGGCAACAGCAAATCAATTCAAAAATCAACTGGTATAACTATTAGAAAACTAAGAGATTTACTTTCATTGGTGGATACTTGGAACATGGGGCATGGCCATTAGCAAGTTCAAGAGCTGTTATTCCAAAAGAGCATATGTCCGCTCTGTAAACAGGAAAGAAGAAGAGGAAACAGAATGATTTAAAAGGTATTAAAAAGCAAAAGAATTAAAGGAAATGAAAAGAAAAAGTATAGATTAAAGACGTAATCAGCTCACTTAGTCATAACCGTGCAATTGCTGCATAACATCTGGAGCCATCCTGATAGGAAAACAACAGTAAGGAGGCACACTGTGGTTATTATCAACTCTCAAAAATTGAATTTCTATAATAAAAGCACCAATATAAGTAAAATCCCAGATAGTTGAAAGGCCAAGGGAAAACAAATACCTGCAAGGAGTTCCAACAAAAGTATTTCGGGAACATTGTCTGTCTCCAGTATCGAACATGCATACCAACACTCCAAAGTCTTCAGGCCTTTGGATCAAATCTTCCAACTTTCACCAAAGAAAATATTTTTTTTTCTTTTTATTTTTGAAGCTTTTGTTTTGCAGCAAAAAATGACAAGAGGAAAATATACAAAAAGAAATATGTTAGTAAGAGAGAAGAATCTCTCCAGTTCAGTTGAGTCGATTGAATATAGTCAGAAATTGGAGATTAGGTTTCACTCAAAATTCAATACTCTAAATTCATTATTTGAAATTTCTGAATTTGATAAAATTTTAAATTTATTTCGATTCAAATTATTCGAATTTATTTTATTAAATTTAGTTATCAAATAAAATGAATTTTGATTGGGTTTATAAGTAATTGGAATCACAAATTAATAAATTCGAACTTTAATACATTTGATAAGTTAAATTATTCAAATTTAATTTAATAATAATTTAAATTTTATTTTAACTAAATTTAAATAATTTGTAAATATGGAGAAATCGTTTAGAGTGGAACCGGAGTAAGAAGAGATTTTGATGATTTTTTTTAATCTTCTCTCTTAGTAAGTGAAAATATTATTACTGTAGCGAATCGTAATTTTGTCAGGCTAATTTATCGGATGAGATAAAAGGAGAGGTGATTATGTCACGGGGCGAAAACCTTAAACCTTGTGATCTTAGATGAGAAATTGTGCCTAAATAAATTTTTTTTTTACACTTTGTGTTGAATTCGCGCACTTCATTAGTGCATTAGTTTCTTAAAAGCACGAGAGAAAGTTAGAAAAGATAGTTAAAGTGTACTAATTTTTAAAAAGTTTGAGAAAAAATTAAAAAAAATTAAAGTAATTAT